GTACTACATGGTGGCTGTTATAATCTTTACACTAAAGGTTATTCCTGTTCATCTCTCCCCTTGGGCTACTGAGGTTTTGGGTTAGTTAACATGTTTTGGATGGTTTTGGTTGGTTTGTATGGTATGTGATGCCATGTGGTTGTAATAATCTGTTGGTTGTTTCTGAGATATTATTGATGTACGGCAGTATTATCCTTCCCATAGTTTATGTTTGTTGTGCTGTAGTGAATTGAGTAGTCAGGACTTTTTGATAAAGTTGCATGGGTGCCCATTTTGTTGGAAGATGTATAGATGGTCTGTTCCCTTTTTCTGGTGTTGCAGGTTGCTGCAGTGCATTAGTGCTCACCTGAATAATGTTTTTACACAGCTTCTCTTGTGGATACTTGTGTTGTTACTTTGGTAATGGAGCAATTAGTGTGATTTATTTTTCAATAGATTTCCATTTTTAATCTATCTTCTATTGGAAAAACCCCCAATACCTCAAACACTGATAATACAATGCATATCTAGACATTTCTCAGCAAGGAAGAACAAGATATTGTTGTCAGGTCCCAAAGTCTTGTTGAAAAAAATCAGGTCTTTACTTCCTTTTGAAAATTGTGGGGGTCAATCTAATCTGTGCCAGAATGATGTTCCAGAGATGGTGGGGCAGCAGCTGAGAAAGCCTTACTTCATGAACCCTATTGATAACAATATGTGAAGGGGCCTGGAAAAAATCTTTTTATTTATTTATTCATTTTTATTTATTTGATTTGTCAATCGCTTACAAGATAATAGGTATAAGTATATACATAGTTATGAATACATGAAATGGGTACATATAAAAAAATAAAAGAAACAATAGGACAGGGACGGTAGGCACGTTGGTGCCCTTATGCACACCCCCTACAGACCTCTTAGGAAAGGGGTGAGGTCAATAGTAGACAGTCTAAGGTTAAAGTTTTTGGGGTTTGGGGAAGAAACCACAGAGTCAGGTAGAGTATTCCAGACATTGACCACTCTGTTGCTGAAGTTGTATTTCCTGCAATCAAGTTTGGTGCGGTTAACCTTGAGTTTGTATCTATTGTTTGCTCTTGTGTTGTTATGGTTGAAGCTGAAGTATTCATTGACAGGTAAGTCATTGCAATGTATGATTTTATATACCATACTTAGATCAGATCGAAGACGGCGTAATTCAAGGTTTTCTAGGTCTAGAATTTCAAATCTGGTGGCATAAGGTATTCTACAATGAGTAGAGGAATGGAGAACTCTTCTTATTAAATATTTCTGAACTTTCTCAACTGTGCTAATATCAAATATGTAATGTGGGTTCCAGACTGATGAGATTTATTTGAATATTGGTCTAGCAAATGTTTTGTATGCTCCAGTTAGTCGTGTGATATTACCAGAGAAAAAGCTACGTAAGATTAGGTTAGCAACTCTTAATGCCTTTTTAGCTATGTAGTTACAGTGGGTTTCTAGCATTTATATCATTAGAGATGAGTATTCCAAGGTTCTTTACAGAGCTTGGATCATCAACAAGGTCTTGACTATTCAGCTTGTACTTTATTTTCTGATTTTTTTGCCAATATGTCGGACAGAGCATTTATTTGTTGAGATTTGAAGTTGCCATTTGTTTAACCATTCTGATACATAGTCAATATCTTTTTGAAGGGTAGCAGTATTGTCTGTGGCATTGAACAGCTTTATATCATCAGCAAAGAGAACGCAGTTGCTCTTAATATGATCACAGAGGTCATTTATGTAGAGTATCAAGAGAGTTGGTCCTAGAACACTGCCTTGGGGGACACCACTGTTGACAGGTACAGAATTTGACAGGACACTCCCAATTGTGACCATTTGTTGTCTGTTTGACAGGAATGCTTCTATCCAGTTATGCAGTTGTCCAGAGATACCATAAGATTTTAGTTTTCTTCCTGATCTTAGTGGGCAGGCAACAATCACTGGGACTAGATCGTCCCGAAGATATCCAGTTGATGTATAACTTCCCAGGCTGAAGTAGAGATGTTTTGGAAGTTCTAAGACTGTAGGGGTCTAGAATGGTACAAACCAGCTCAAACAAACTCTTAGAAAGGTTGAGTTGCTGCCTATCTGGAAACTAACCTAGAGGCAGTTCCAAGGTTATCTGTAGATAGGGTCACCTTCCATATGAAAAAACAAGTCTGCAACTTGGAGTCTTCTTAAACTCATGCATTCTCTGAAAGATAGAATCCGTGACCTTCACTCAGCTGAGAGCAATTTGTCAGTTTATAATCCTACTTGGACCAAGAAACCCTGGTAACAGTAATTCCTACCTTCATCATTATGTGACTTGATTACAGGAAATTTCCCATTTATCAACCACAACTGGATTGGCAACTCGACTTTGAGTGACTCTGCTTATGATCTTACTGTAGTTCAGGCTTCCTTTGCTTTACGATCCTGCAAATGTTGTAAATGTGAGAACTATTACAAGTTACTTTGTAATTACCATTGTAATTGTGAACAGTTTCTCTACAAGGAACTTGCTAAACAAGGACTACCTGTAATGTCAATTACAATATAAATAACTGCCTTTGAAAGTGGTCCAGAAATTTCTGTTGGTATAAAATGTGGCCAGGATGAGTTTCATTATTGCAACATGACATCTATTTTTTGTATCCATTTTAGAATTCCATTCAAAGCACTTTATGGCTTCACTCCAGGATAATTTAGGGGCTATTACTCAAGTTAAAACCTGCTCACCCGAGGTGAGGGACATTCAAGGTGAAGTCCCTGAAAGAAATCAGGGGACACAGACCTAAAGGTCTTATTTCTCTTGAATGAACCCCATCCTTTTAGCATTCTTTGCCCTTGTTAGTGATTTGTTTTTGTAAGACTATTAAAACAATGTTACTTCATTTTTGAGGTTGACTGTCATTAGGCTTTGTGATTTTTATGACTAGAATGGTTTATTTGTTGGTAGTAATTGTTTTGATATAGTGTATTGTGTCGATTTATCTGTTTAGTTTTAATCATATTGTCAACAGTGAAGGTTGACATATTATACTTGTAAAAAAAGAAATAGAGGGAACATTATTCAGTTTACATAAATTTATATAATTTTTACATAAGTATGATTTTGGAACTTTATTAGTAAAATCATATTCTTGGTACCTTGGAAGCAGCTATGTCAACAGAAACATAATGTGCAAGCATTCCACAGCACTACTTACGTTTTTAAAATTAAGCAACCAATTCTAATCACATAGTTCATATCAAGTTTTTTTTTCATCTAAAACAATGATAGGTTCTCATACTCGTAAAGACTAAAATGAAGTTTAAGCATAATCTGACTGGAAAATTAATCAAATACTACACCTTATCTTCTGTATATAATAGAACAGTACTCTCATGATGTAAATATACTGATTATGTCACTTATTTCTTGTCATTTTATTTTATTGCCCCCATGTTTAAATGTAGAAAGATATTTCTGAAATCTTGTATCATGCATGGAACCTGAGAATGTAAATAAACAGTACCATATATTGACCTGAACAAGTGCAATACTCTTGGAAAGCTGAAAGTACAGGACAACATAGAGCAAATACCTGTGTATGATGATGCAGGGTTGTTAGAACCTTTGTTCTGTTGCTTGCCATATTTTCATATATTCCATCAATTCCCATAGCCTTCTCATTGAGGAACGAGTGGAGTGCTGATCTAATTTCATCCTCTAGCATTAGATATTCACGTAAATAGGACATGTCTTCTAGGGTATCTTGGATGTTAACATCTCTAATATATATAATTTCACTACACTCCTTTAGTCCTTGATTGATCTTACTTGAATCAGGTAGTTCTCAACATAAGACTGGAATGGAGCCTGGAATAAATAATGAAGGCTGTAAATCTTACCTCAAGGCACCGTGACCAGACCTAATTAAAAAAATTTTTTTTACAGCAACTGTTAAGCAAATATGGCAGTCATTAAGTGAACCCAGCAGTCATTAAACAAATCCATGTATTCCTATACGTTTTTTTTTCTGAAAATAGGAAAAAATATTGTAAATTGCAGTAACTTGATCGTGGAAATCTGCAACCTGCAGTAAAGGTGAGCTAGTTGCCATTCATCTGATATATAGTCATGTGACCACAAGGCATATTCAGCTGTCAGATCTTTGGAATTTGTAAATAGCTGGGGAGGTCTGTTTTAACTTTAAATGGTTGTTATGTGACCAGTGATTAAGCAAATCACCTATCTCATCTTTTCTTTAAAATGTCTGTTTGTTCTGACATCTAGTTTGCTTTCTTCTGTTTCTTCATCTTTCATGGTTTCTCATTCACATTTATCCTTAACATCCTCTTTAAACTTATATGTAGTTTCTCTGCTTCCCAATCAATGAGGTTTAGGACTTCCTGATATTCTCCTTGCAAATGAATATATATAGTGAAGATCATGCCATGGAAATTGGTGGCTGTCTTGGAACTTTCATGATTTATGATCTGTTCCACAGTCAGTCCCTGGCCATGTTTTTACTTTTATATATAACTGAACTCTTCCATCTCATTCTCCCAAATAATATGGCCAATTCCAGTAATATATTAATTCCACTTTTACAATAGACAAACTTTAAGGATGTTCCCTGAATGAACTGATTTAAGGTCAAGGTGTGGGAGGAACTAGCCTTTTTATTTTTCTTCAGAGGACCACGGGGAGCCGGTTGTGTGTGCATACTTACAGGCATTAACATTAAGTAAACGCTCCCCACCCCGACAAAAAGTATCAGCCCGCCCTTTTTCTTTCGAATGAATTCGGCTCTTCTGTCCCAGGAGAAGCGAGAAACGGAGTCGGCCCATTTACAATAAAGGGAGGCGAAAGTTGGCGGTGAGCAAGGAAGGTTAGCATGCGGGTAGAAGAGAAGGAGGAGGAGTTAATGGCTCGGACGCCTTGTTGCTATGGGGAGACAGAGGGAGGAGGTGGCTCCGCCGCTGCTGTTGCTGCTTCGCAGGGCAAGGAAAGCCAGAGGCGGCGACGCTGCTGTTCTGTGACACATTTCCCATATTGCTGCTACTGCTGCCATTTTGTGCCCCCATCCTCTCCCCCCACCCCCATGCGCCTGCTTCATGAGTACAGTGAGTTGGAATATTTCCTTTATTAACTATTTCTGGGGAAAGTGGGCGGGAATCAAATATCATTTCTTTCATTTCCCCCCTCCCCAAACCTGGGATTTTCTGTTCTTTCCATTTATTTTAACTTCCAAATCCTTAAAAATGCTAAGTTTTAGCTAGTCTCTTTCTCTCTCTTTTCCTTTTCCTTCTTTTTTTTAACAAAAAATATATTTCCAGATGTGGGGCTAAGATGTGTCGGAAGAAGACGCCGTCTGAGCTTTTCATCCCTCCGTTGCACAATGTGAGCTGGGTAACGCGGAAGCTTAAATTGCGCCGCTGGCGTGCTTGCGTGTCTCCGCGCGCTCCGGCTAAAGATTTAATTCGGGCAAGGGGTGGAATCGAGCAAAGGCTGCAAATGGAGGTGGGGGAGCCCGTATGTCGAAGATCTGTGTAAATTGGAGTTTGTACCTCCGGAGGCTCTATTTGCCCATCTGAGAGGGAAAACAGAGCTTTGTGGCCTCTTTGCTGGGGGGGGGGGGGGGGGGGGGGGGGGGAGAGATTTAGAATTTCAGGGGGGGGGGGGGGGGGGGGGGGGGGCGGGTTCCGGGACGCCGCGGGGGGGGCCCCGGACAACTAAAAA